AACAGCTACATCCACGCAAGCTTCAACGTCGCCAGAGAAACCTATAAAAACTACACGCTCTGGTAGGAGAGTTCATTGGCCTAAACGTTATGTGCAAATCATCAAAATATAACTTATTACGAATTTTCATTTTTATTATCTTTATTCGTAATTGTCATTTGACTACACATTTAACTGATTAATATCTTCATACGTCGATCACGTCACTACTATGTTAACATTGATATTTCCTGTATTATTACATTTAATCATATAGCGCTTAATATTCACGTATCGTTTCCGTATACAGACTACAGATCCCCGGCCGATTGTATCATTCCTTATATATTCTACCACGATCATCAATCCTATTTTTTGTTTTATTATCGCAATTATTATCGGCCTTATTGACCGCATTAAATTGCTCATTTTCTAAGCTTAATAAATCGCTTTCTATGTACTATCGCTGCTACGTATTACGCTGACGCATTTTATTGTCGAACACTTAAATGTATTTTTTTTATATTTCAGTGTTCTGGTGGGGGAATTATGTAGTACCCCTGTACCAACTATAAACATACGTTTTTAATCTAATTTGCATACTCATATTATATGTTTACACATACCGATTTTATATGTACTTCGTAAACATTTGCCAATTTACTGTTGAACGTTACCTTGATACTTTTTCGAAATTTGACTACGGCTATAATACACGATTATACTCTTCACAAGTGCCTTCTGATTTTACGTTGTGGGCGTCGAGTAGCCACAACGTCTGCGCACATTGATAAACGTGAAGAAGTACTAGGAAATACGTGTACGCTCATTTAGTCAAATAGAACACGCAATAGACATGTCTGGAAGGATTGAATGAGCTGAATCAAAGTCGGGACAATCTCCCACCTCATGATACCTCAGGCTACCTTTACTAATTCACATGTACATGCCAAATCACATATATTGGGAGAACAAAAAGAAGGATTATTTTCCGCATTTCTCAGCAGATACTAAAATGTCTTAGGCTTAAGACCTAAAGCACATTGAACAATGGGATTGCGCGCCATGTGTTAGACATTGGTCAGATCGCAGACAGTCTGCTGATTAATTACATTGAACCGAAATCTTCATTCTTTGCTAACATTTCGTCAATTCCATTGTTAGTTACCACCAACCAGAATGAGTAGAGTACGAGTTAAAATAAGCATTTTCCATTCCGCTGTTGTTGTATACTACACTGATTAGAAGTGCAAACATTTCCATTTAAAGTTTAGCAAAAACAAAAACACTGAGCAAAGAATATCCTTTTCGATAACTTCCTCTTCTGGCTCTACAATCATATATATGCTTATATACATAGGATATAACATAGGATAGTACCCATTCTAGACGACAATTTCCGTGCAAAACTGATGAATGGGCCTTTGAAAGATGTAACTGATGAACTAGAATTCTACTGTCGGTACATGGATGATACATTTTTGATTATGAAAAGTGAGGATGAAGCAAAGAACATCCTGGACACATTTAACGATGCTCACTCTTCAATAAATTTTACCACAGAGAAAGAAAGACACCCTAGTAGTTCATTCCTAGACGTCCTTATGACTAGAAAAGAGGACGGTACAATAAGAAGAAGTATATATAGAAAACCTTCATCAGCTGGTCAGTATACTCATCTTTTCAGCTTCGTGCCTCTGAAATACAAACACAGTCTAATAAAGTGCTTGGTTCACTGAGTAAGAGCAATCTGCTCTCATGAATATCTTAATGAAGAGCTTAATATTATTAAAAGGTAGAGAAGGTTATCCAGAAAAATTCATCGATAAGAATATGAATCAAAAGTCAAGACATGCCAATGTACCAACAATTCCGAAAAAGTCCTTCTTCTTATAGCTTCACTTCTTTGGTGATAACATCAGTGAGATATTAACACAACGTCTAAGCAATGCAGTAAAAAGAGCATTCAGTGCAAATGAATTATGCTGTGTCTTCAAAACCACCCCTATTTTGCTTTCGGGAGTAAAAGATAAGCTGCCAAATTTCGCCTCTTCTATGTGTAACTACCAGTTTGACTGCACTTGTGGAGCCAGTTACATGGGCCATACAGTCAGGCATGTTTATCGTCGAATTTCCGAACATCATCCTGCGTGGTTAAGTAAAGGACAAACAAAATCCATTCATAGCTCTATTCTATCTCATCTTGTAGATACAGAACACAAGATTGATGTTAACGAGGCGGCTTTCAAAGTCATCTACCGCATACCGACTAATCTTACATTTACCCAAAGAGTTCGTCTATTACATTTTGGTGGGATGACTGGGATCCACATTAAGAAACCCAGTTTATGTAACCAAAAGAAGCTGGTTCAGACACTGTCTTTACCTTGGCCAACAGGGTTCTAATGATCCTCAATTTGTTGTAGAAATTTCCTTAATTTTATTTGATATTCTATTTGCTACTACGCTTTAATGTTTATTATAATTTATATATCTTTAGTGAACTGTAATTCCATCGATCTTACTTAGCAGATCGACAGTATTTAAAAACACCAGTATTTTTAGTGACGACAATTATAGAATATTCTATGTATATAAACACACATATATATGTATATATAACTGTAGAGCCAGAAGAGAAAATTATCGAAAAGGATATTCTTTGCTCAATGTTTTCGTTTTTTCGAAATATCTGAATGAATATTTTCACTACATACAAAGTTTCTTTGTCACCAGAAAGTCAACAATTGCATGAAAGGAAACAACAAACAAGCTTTGATAACAACTAAAATTTTATACAACTCTCAGCTCCAACGGCTTAGTGTCTATAGTAATATCAGAGCTCGTCTTCTTAAGATATCGATTACCAAAGGAATGTAGTATTAGCACAGGTTGAATAAATAAAAAGTGTCTATTTAGGTTCGTTCACTCATTAAAATAAATAACATAACTGTCAACACATATTTCTATAAAATAATAAGTTATGTAACTGTTACATTACTTTTAACACCTTCGAACCAACTGGGTCATTCACGTGTTAAGTTCAGAGTTCAACACCTTTTATATGTAAATATATGCAGCTATGTCTCTGTCAGCTAATTATATTAAATGAAATGGTTAGGTATGACTCGCCAACGTCCAAATATTTTTGTTGTTGGTGCAATCAATTCTTATCACTTAATCGATAGTCATGTGTTACTCTGTGTTGATGCTAGAAATGCGATACATATCAAAGTCTATATATATATGTGATTAGTGCTGACAAAGTCTCGTCATTTTTTTTTGCAAATGACGACCCCCACTATTATGTAACGATTATTAGTTTATTTCTCTTTCAATATTTACGTTATCAGTTGACTACTGTTCAAAAGAGATCGTAGAAAGTGAGTAGACTTGCGCACGATGAACAAAAAAATGATTCTAGAAGGTCTAACTTTAGCAGATGATGTAAATCTCGTTTAAGATATAAAGGCAGAACAATTAGAGAGGGAAAATCATTTCAGCTGTATACGGAAAAGTTTAAGATGTCAAAGTCACAATCAGTAGGGCAAGACAGAAATTCAGTCTGCACCAAAGAAAGGAATAGACACATTACACTAGTTACTAGTGTCCAATCAAAGTATCCACTCCAGTCCAACAGGAGGTCAATCGCAAGCCAGCCCGAATAGCTCAGTGGTAACGCCTCTGATTGCAGCACTGGCTGACGCGGGTTTGAATCTCAGAAGAGACATGAGTTCCTTGAAGGTTGCCTTGCTGACGAGTGCTAACTAGCACGAAACCTAGGTCCAAAGCTTCCTGTGGCCGATTGCCTCCAGTCATCTAATATCATCAGAACTTATGTATATAAATGCGATGCTATAGGTGCTTTTGAACATGAAATCTTTGCTGAACTTCTTGTTCTTATCCCTCTAATATCCCGATGCGTATTTTCCCTGATAGAGAGAATAACTATCTGGAAATTGAAAAGAAAATTTGAAAAATCAGCATCAAAAATAAGATCCGGATTTTCAACTCCAATGTGAAGTCAGTCAGTGCTACTATACGGATCATAGATTTGCACTGCGCGTCATAAAGAGCATCTCAAACAAACTACAGACCTTCAATAATAGCTGTCTTCGCTCAATACTCAAGATCAGATGGCCAGCCAGAAAAGATCAGCAACAGAGATCTCTGGGAGCGAACCAACCAAGCAGGAACCGATTGTGAAACAAATAGGCATTAGGAAATGGAGATGGATTGGCCATACTCTGAGGAAACCATCAGGTGACATCACTAGACAAGCCCTTGAGTGGAACATGAAAGGGAAGCGGTGAGTTGGTCGTCATTGCAAGGGTGGCTTGGAGGGGGTCATGTGAAGAGGAGATGAAAACGTGTGGGCAGACTTGGAGCCAGGTGAAGACTCTAGCAGAGAACCGAACGCAATGGAGACGCACGGCTGAAGCCCTATGTTCCTCTAGGAATTAAAGGAAATAATAATAAATAATTTGAAAAGATTGGTTATTACAATGGAAGTTTAGATACAACATCCGCTTGAAAAGTTCGAAAATTCTACTATCTAGCCGACATCAAACAAATTCCATGTTGTTTTATTTTTGGATTTATGTGATGTGATTTATTTGTTATCCTATGAACTACCCAATTTGTTAATATATTAATGACATACTACTTTCAAAACAAAACCATTCCAATTAAGTAGGTAATGATACATTTAAGTGTATATTTTAATCTGAACTAATGTTTTTTTATACAAAAATTCTAGTATAATTTGATGTCTAGACATTGTGCTAGTAATGTTAACTCTTTGATCATTATTATTATTATTGATACTCTTTTATATTAATTAATAAACAGTATATATGTGTTTGTACTTCATTTCTACTGAATATTCTTAGACTTGGTACCATTACTTTTGAAGCACAGACACTCAAATTGACAAACACTCAGGCGCGCATGTAAACATACAAATATACTGAATGTGCAGTAGTAGTAGTAATAATAATAGAAGTAGTTAACATCACCTTGACCTATCATTAATTTTCATTTTTCAATTCACTCATAAACAACCACTAATGATATATAAGATTATATAAATGAATATTGGTTGGTAGACTGGTCGACTGTCATTAACAATATTTATAATAAAAACTTTTGCAAATATAAATAGATATATATACATATATATTTAGTGAGATAAATACAACTACGAATTGGAAGGTATTTTGTTAAAAATATTCATTCAAGAAGGCGATAAAATGATGAACGAATTGAATAAATATTTGAAAACACTATGCAGACAACCGATCAATCATGATTTAGAAGTTATTGTAGTCGGTTTAAATAAAACGGGAACAACTTGTTTAAAATCAGCGCTCGAAGTTCTATTCAATGGATCAACATGTTTTCATTATACAGATTTAATGTATCAATCAAATGATGTTATAGAAAAATGGTTAGAAGTACACTTATATCAGTATCAAAAACACTTGAATGGTTATCAGTTTAATACACGTGAATTATTGAAAACATTATTAAAAAAGTATCAGTGTGTCTCTGGAATACCAGTTACACCGTTTCTTAGTGATTTACTAGAAATGTATCCAAAAGCTAAAGTGAGTGAGATTTAGTAGTTTTAATTTTTTTTATTCACTTTCAAAATTTGTTTTTGTCTCAAAGGATATTTTTCACAGAGTATGTTGAGAACTCTGAGTATATTTATATTTTCAAGAATTAACTTGTAGGGACTCTATTGGTTTCAGGTGAGACCATGGATTGAAATCATTTAGAGAACCACTGAAAGCCAGGAAGTACTGGACAGCTGTTTCATCCTAGTTTGCGAATCATCGGCAGTACGCAACCACTGGTGCTCGAACCCAGGAACCCCAGTTACAAGGCAGGCTCGTAGAGTATTCAGTCACTGGGATTCGACTCAGTGGGCAACCTATGAATTCTAACCAGCCAATGTTATCGGAGGGAAATGCATCCTCACTCCCAACTGGATAAACCCCACTGGTCATGACTTCTCACTAGAACTCCAGACAACTTTGTCGTGTAGCCAGTCACTAGCAAGCATCACATTAAATTTTTGAGAATTAATTTGTAGGGATTCCATTTCTAATCACAAAGTGACTTCAGTTGAAGAACCACTGAAAACTAACGAGTACTGGTCAGGTGTTTCGTTCTTCAGGTTACAAGGCGATCTCGTACACTATTCAACCATTCGAACAGAATTCAGTAACCCATCAGTTCAAAATTCTGCTAATTCTCTGTATTTATTGCGGCCACCAGTCAGTGTTATTGGTGAGTACCCATCTTCATGGTGGACCCCATTTATTACAATTTCTCACTAGAAATTCATGCAACTTCAACCTTTAGTCAGTCCTTGGTCCTATCCCTGATTGATTCATGGGTCCGTAGTGATGAAGAGTCTCAAACAAGAATGAAACAGCTATCCGGTACTCCCGGGTTTTCCAATGGTTCTATAACTGCAGTCAGTTAGTGATCAGTCTAATTTACACAATCTGGTACTATTCAGACATCCATTACGGAGCCGGTATGCCAAAATGTGACTGACCACTTCCGTCCAAATGTATATCAGCGAGGGAATCACAAATCTGAAAAAAGTAATTTCCACTGCACAAAAAATTGATCCGCTGACTTAACGAAGCTGCAAGTAATGGGTGTGAGTTTCATTGAGAATAGCACTACCTACTTGATGGAGGCATCCACGTGACGAGTCCCCATTAGAATTAAATACGATTCCTGAACTTTAATGCACGCCACCACCGAACGAGTAATTTTTAAATTGCTTTAATTAAGGTTGAATAATACTAAGATTTATATGGTGTTTTCGATATAGGTCATAATTTTCAACTGTGTAGTTTATTTCGAGGAAGAAACCAACATAGTTAGGTCACCTATTTTGACCTTCTATCTGTTATGAGGAGATTGGAGTATCGGAAATAATTCTTGCTACGTGCATATATGGTGTCTTAACTACCATCCTCACTAAAAATTTATAAGTGGATGTTCAGTTTTACACTAAGTAACCCTTGACCTCATGAATACTTACAATTCATTCGCCTACCTTATATGCCTATTCGCTTTCAATTTACTCCATCCCTGCAATTCTTAAAATCTCTCATCCTTGAGTAAGTTATCTCCCAAAATTCAACTATTCATAAACATTACCTGACCAATTCTACATTAATGATTATTGATGGCAGGTAGTCGGTGTTCAGAACAAGAGGATTTTTCAGCGAACCACTGTCTTTGATGACTTCTTTGGGTTGTGCAGTTATAAATCCATGAATATGAAAACACAAATAGCCAGTAAACGCAAACGAAAATCATATCTGAAACTGTTTTGGGATACATGTATAAGATGGATTGATATCCCGTTAGTTATATGTACAACTGCACAGCTTATAAGAATGAGAATGAGAAAAATTGATTTTTTCTCAAAAACTTCATACAATTCCTCCCCTCTACAGATTTCTACAAAGCGAGAATAGAATGTAAGAAATGTCTACAACTTGAATAGGTATTCATTTTCTCTGCTGACAAGAAGTAATTGATAGAAACTACAGGTGACGTAAGTAAGTAGTTAAACTACCAGGCGTTTCAAGGATTGACTGTGTAAAAGATGATTAGACAAATATTCTTGAAAATAATCAAACTTCAAAAGCTTTTGTGTGGAAACAAACTTTAACTGGAAACACTGTGTCAATTAAAACAGGTCACATAACTACAAAAGTAAAATAAAGTGACAGAAAAGAGTAAGGTGAGTGACATTAAGGCGAAAAAAATAAAAACTTCTCTAACTGAAGATATGGAAGAATATGCGATGCAATAAAATTATATGACTCCTTCCGTAATTGTAACCACTGGGGTTCCCCATTGGCTGTTCCCACAAGCATAGATGCGGTTGTAATCATTGAGTGGCAGTGTTCTCAGACAGATGTAGTTGGCTAGTTCTCTTTCGTCAGGTGATTATTTTGAACTCCTTCAAACTATTTGCTATGTGACCAGCGTCCAAAAGATGACATGCAGTCGGAATGTTTAATGACTCTGAGTACTTTAATGTCAGATGTTTTTATATATGTTCAGAAGTACAGACTGTAACAGTTCTCTTTCTTCTCCACGTGTGCACTAGTAGAGGTATTTTGAAGTAAAATGAGGTGAGAGATTGTCCACTTCTGGTTTTGCCCATCCTATCCTTCTGCATTTGTTGTTTCAATTTGTTCAAGTCAAATTATTCGAAGTTTTCGCTTTGCAAAAGCATTTATTCCATTATCCTAGGAACAATTATCAACTGATGTTTGTTGTGACCCTAATTCCTAATCCCTCACATGCTACATGATTCCTTAAGTAATTGGATAATTCTCACCCATGTATCTGCACTGTTTGAATTTCATTCACAATGAAATTCAACACTCATTAACTGAAGTACACTTTCCACGATTGTTGTCGCTTGATAATTGGTGGCTAGCACAGAAAACCAAGACGCCCACCACATTCTACGTCAGACTAGTCACCTGATGCAGGTATGGCAAATAAATAACACTTGTTATTATTCATAATTTTACACACTGACGTATTATCACGTATACGAATATAAATTTTATTATCTGCAATGATTGACAGCTTTGATAGTTATGACTAACTAATCACTTCCACTACCATTAGATTTTCAACAGTATAGACGTGTGAAGAATGAAGCTTCAGGATGATCGGAATTCAAGTATCACATGAGTGGTATTGTTATTTTCACTGAGGTCAGATAATTAGGCGGTTTACCTTAGGTTACCATTCAAGGCTTCTTGAGTGACATAGAATTTCCTACAGTTTTGCAGATGACATTGTCAATTGAATGCGTTACTCAAATGTTTATGATGGAAATTTGTGCATTTAATAATGCGAAGACAAAAACCTAATTTTACAGCTTGACATGATGAGCAGCAAAATCTCATCTTTGTATAGAGAAATGTCTGTTCTTGAAATCTCAGTGTGTATACCAACCTTCATCAGACCCTGATGTTACCTGGCGTTTGTCAGTGATGGAATCTTGGAAGTGGGTTTATTATAACTTTTGATACATCAGCTGGGAATCGAACGGTCAAGTGAATTCGATTTCCGTATGGAAACTCGGACAGCATACCGATGTTTGCAGCATTATTATCTGTCTCTCAGGCTATTAAATTGCTCTAGTCATGTGTTATTTAGGGTCGATTTGAGTTCATTGTGATAAATTCCTTTTGATTTCTATTTTCATTGAAAGCGTCGAAATATGGTAGATTGATGGTACATTGTGAAGATAATTCTGGAGAGTGACGACCAGTGTGAAGAATATCTTAACGCTAACCATTACCTCTGTGCATCAGAGGAAGATATTACTTCTCTGAAGCTTTCGTTTTATATTTTCCATGTTTATTCTTCAAATGTGTGTTAACTCTAAGGCTTCAGAGTTCATCACTTGTGGATTTTGTTTTGTTTGTATGCTGCTCTGAAATCTTCATTATCTGTGTCTAGTGATACTCTTAGTTCACCATTGTGTTTATATTAACTGTTATCTATATACTGAACAGATTTTAGAACCGTATCGCACAGACCGTCATTTTTCATTGTGAACGGATATAGCTGAAATGGTGTAGTTCTTATATTTCTATTATTATATTATTATTGTTTCCTTTGGTTCCCAGAGGAACATAGGGCTCCAGCCGCACGTCTATACTGCGTTCGGTTCTCTGCGAACGTTTTCACCTAGTTCCACAACTGCTCAATTGATTTCATCTCCTCTTCACATGACCTCCTCAACGTCACCCTTGGACGACCAACTCACCGCTTCCCATTCGGGTCCCACTCGAGCGATGATCTGGCGTGTGATGTCACTTGATGGTTTTCTCAGAGTATGGACAATCCACTTTCATTTCTTCCTGAATATTTGTTACACAACAGGTTCCTTCTGGGTTGGTTCGTTCATTACCAGAAATCCCTATTGCTAATCTCTTCTGGGCAGCCATCTGATCTTGAGTAGTATTGAGCAAAGACAGCTGTTGATGAAGGTCTGTAGTTTGTAAGAAGTGCCCTTCGTGATGCGCTGGTCAATTCTCTGGTCCGTATAGTTAGTATCACTGACTTCACATTAGATTTGAAAATCCGCATCTGATACTAAAACATATTGACGTGTAGAGGACAAATGATAGCCAACTGTCGCAAGCATTATCCTTAATATTGACCTAGAAAACGTCTCCACAATGCATAATAATATATCATATATGATAGACAACACATTTTATGTACTTTTATGAATACTTGTTAAATAAATGAAAATATTTTACACTAAATATGATACAAAAATTCTTCAATATATCTGAGAATTTTCACACATTTTTCTTTGACTGAGAAATGTAAAACGTATTCTGCCTGAAGTTTGATGTATGAATTTACACAGTAAAACTTCAGGTTGTAATCTGGAGCTACTATAACGTATAGCAACGAGCATTAAAGACACTCATTTGGTAAATATTGGGGAAAATGTCTAGAAATGAAAATATGATAAAGGACAAATACGTTGTAGTCACTGTGAACATTCTCATTCCCATTGCAAACA